ATGAATCCCCACAAAGAGCACAGTGGTTTTCTATTTAATTCCCATGAGCTATGAACTATAAGGGCTTACCAAAAGCATCTGCACATAATGTAGGAATTCAATAAATACAAAAGAATACAGCTTTAGAAATGCAATTTCAAAAACTATTACCATAGATGATGCTGTATTTTTAGACTAATTACTTCTTAGGGATTTAAGTTGGTAAATACACTCATGTAAACAGCTCCTTAAACTGTGGGTTGCAACCCTATATGTGAGCCACTTAATTGAATATGGAGGTCATGAAAAATTAGGCAACAGTAAATGGCTTCCTAAAGGACTACAGCCAGCAGTTAATTAAAAACTCAAAATCGGTGTGAATTAAGCAGTTTCTGGCCATGTTTGCCCATGCTCTATCACATGGCGTTACTGTAGCCTTCGTTTTGAGCACACATGTGCCCTGTGTGCTATGCATGCCATCCCACAACACCAATGACTGCTGCCTGAAATACCTCAGCTCAGATCAGAGGTTGTTGCAGATTAGGAATTGCAGTGTTGTTACTGTACATATGAAGTTCTCTGATCTTCTAGAAACATCAGAAGGGTTTAATTATAGAAAACAAAGACTTCATAGTTTCCAATGTAACTATTCAGCATGTATCAAATTAGTGTATTAGTGTATTCTTGGATTGGATTAGCATATTTGGTTTCAAAAAAATTGAACTTGAGTTGCTTACTTGAGTTTCATTTAAAAAAATCATTAGCTGAATTTTGGCTTGGGAAAAGGGCAGAATTTTCAACAGTCTGAAATGGCCCTTTGTACTATGAATTTATGCAAAACAGCATTCTCAATATTGGTAATCATAAAATGAAAACATTGACCATCTATGAAAAATGTTGAATATGCACAAAATCTTGCATAAATGTTCAGCCAATATCTAACTTTTTATGTAAGTAAGTAACATTAGTTTCAACTTTAACAAAAGGAATAAGTATGTATCAAAGTGTTATTTTAAAATAAATTATTTATGATTTATTATCAGTGCTTGATTTATTGTGTTTCTATCTTATATGCCTAAGTATACAGAATCATGTAAAAATTTATCAGGCAAAAGGGGTCATGAGTGGAAACAATTTAAGTAGCCCTGCTCTGATATATTTCAAAGAAGTATTCCATTTAGTATCTGTGCCTTTTGTATGCCATCATGTGGCTCTGCTGTGAGTCAATGGTTGTTTCTGGTTCTTTATAGTCAAGTAAAATAAAATATGCACAACTTAGGAAAAATATGGTACTAGATATTCTTTTCCTGGGAATTGTCTCAAAGAACATCACAAACAGCTAGAAACTGAAAACATATAATTCACTATGAAAACTAATATTTTTATTAACAAATGGCAAAGGAAATACCTCAGATAGAAAGTAACAAAGGTGCATAGCTATTTATAACATATTATAATTATATAAATAGTCAAATACTGTGGGTGGGGAAGGGCTATACAGAAAGAGAAAAATAAATACTAAATAGGACTACATTTGGTAGATGCAATCTATTTCTTCATAAAACCAACTTTTTTATTTCCCATGCTTTTATGACAAGGCAAAAAAATAATTAAGTAAATAAAAATAAAATCAGAAGCTAAACAAATCATTGGGTCAAAGAAGAAAGAGGACAGACTTTCTCTTTTAGATTTCAGCCATGATATATGATAGTATTTTTTGCTTCAGCAATTGTCAACAAAAGACATCAGAGAGGAACTGTCAACAACAGACATCAGCTTATGACTTCTTATGTGTCAGCTATGGGCCACAACTGGCTGTCTCCTCTGAACAAATAAAGCTGAGGAAATACATGCTGGTGTTAGTCTATTTCTTTCTATACATGCAGACTTTGGCCAGTTTTAACAAGAAACATCAGCAAGAATCTGAGTTCTGAGGTACTTATCATGTGAAGAAAGACCTCTGAGAGACAAAGTACATGATGAGAAACAATCATTTAGGACAGAACACAGTGTTACATTTCTGAACCTCACTTACAGCATCTACCTTAAGGAGGACTCTGAAGTGCATGAGTTAGCAAGAAGACAATGTTAGCAAATATTTCAATTTTACATATTTATGATTTTTAAATGTTAGCAGAGTATACAAATGCACACTCAAACACCACAGAATGTAAACCTAAAGTTACTCCTCAGCACCCCCTCCCCTTAGCTGTCTTATACATGAAACAATATGACACCATCAATAGAATTTTGAAAAGAAGGAAGGGAGAGGGGGAAAAGAGGAAGTGAGGGGGGAAACGGGAAGAAAGAGGGAGGGAAGGAGGGAAACACACACACACACAGAGAGAGAGAGAGAGAGAGAGAGAGAGAGAGAGAGAGAGAGAGAGAGAGAGAGAGAGAACAAGCTAGCTAATCTCTGGACTTGAAGTTTATTTGTATCTGAAGTATGAAAAACTCTTCCCATATGATGTGGTAATAAACTGAACAACAATAGTCAACATTTTGACATATATCTTCAAACATTTGTGT